CATACCCTAGTGGGCAGATGGGCTGGATGGGATGCAGATGACACCTGTCCACTTTTGGGACAGAAGGTGAACAAATTGGCATAAGTTACAAGAACGCAGGTTTTGCTTCAAAAGACTAGCAGGGCAAAACTCTATCATAATAAGAATTGGCCAACTGTGGTAAGTCTGTTCTGTGAAGTAATGAGTTTTCCATGGCAAGGAGGGTTCATTAGCCGCTGTGGGTTTACCTCTGGGACAGCGGTTCTCAACCTGTGGGTCGCGAACAATGAAAATACATCCTGCATATCAGATATTTACATTACGATTCATAACAGTAGCAACATTACAGTTATGAAGAAGCAACGAAAATAATTTTATGGTGAGGGTAGGACTCTGGGTTTGGAATATGCCCTGACTGGGAATTGAACCTGGGACCTCCTGGTTCATAGGTTGACAAAATGATATGCCTTGTTATAGTTTTCTTCTTGTTTCTTGTGCTTAGTTTGGTTGAGCTTCTTGGATCTGTATGTTCCAAGGGGGTCACCACAGCATGAGGACCTATATTAAAGGGTTGCGGCATTAGGAAGGTTGAGAACCACTGCCTGGGACATGCTGCAGGGAGAGCCCTTCTCTGGGTGGGCTTGAACTGTCACCGCTCCGCTTTGGGTGGGAGTAAAGGAAGTTATTACAGTTCATCTTTTAAAATTCTGTTCGTGTCCCATATCATCCTTTCTTCCCTTTTCTATCCCACGTCATCTTCCGAGTTCTTAATAGTTCATGCTTTCAGAGATGCTCCTGACACTAAGTATCCACCTGCTGGACTTGGGCAATGCTGGTAGCGAGCAGTTTGTCTGACTCTGTTGATCATAGAGGCATCGTCCATCCTGCTAAATTTTTCTATGGAGCCAGTACTCCCCAACCCCTCCAGCAAGTGTGTGAGTTCCTGTGTGTGTGTGTATGTGTGAGATGCTTGCACACGAATGAGTGTTGTAACTGTCATTGCACCTCAAAGTACTAACAGGAAAGCAATTTGCTTAGTGGGATATGGGAATGGAGGGCCTTGGTTCCCAGGGAGGACTGATCTGCCCTCTAGTCTCCCTTTTCTCTCCTCCATATCCCATCCCCCCAGCCTCAGGCTGACTCCTTCAGCTTAATTTCCCAGGCTGCAGCAGTGACTCCACCCTCCTTTTGCCTTCCCCTCCTCCTTCCTCCACCTACCACACACATGGGCTTTGAGTTATGTGCCTCCTGTTCTAATGAGATAAACAACATAACTCTCACGGGGCTCTGTGCATCCCTTTCTAAGTGGAACTCCGGAGCTGAATGCATTGACCCTATAAAGGCACCCTGGTGCCTGTCAGCCTGAGGAGGAGGGTGAGGAAGGGGGACAGGAGCCCCCAGAGAATTGTTGGGGCTATAGGCCTGTTGAGATGAGGTGGAGTCAAAAAAGACCTCAAGGGAGGCCTGTTTCCATTCTCGTGGCTACAGAAGCAAAGAGCAGCCTGGACATGCGGGTGCGAGGCCTTCTCATGTCACGTGGGCGTGGAGTCTAGACTCGTTTAAGTCAGCTAACTCATAATAATGACTGACATTTGTATAAGGCTTCATGATGATAAAGAGCTGCTTCTTGAATATAAGCTAATCCCATGACAGTCCTTATAAGGTAGGTGCTATTAACAGCCTTACCTTACAGGTGAGCAGGCAGGGAATGGCGGTGCACGGACTCATGTGCTCTTCTCTGCCCTGCGGAGCTTCTCCAACCCATCAGGGAAAGTGAGAGAATTAAATAAAAAGTGTCCCCTCTTCTGGACATTCAAACTACTTACTAAAATAGACTCTCCCAGGCGAGTGGGCCTGCAGCTACAAGCTGAGTGGTCTGGGGCTGCCTGTTGCTGCTGACCAAAAAGTGCAGTGACCACATCCTCAAGGAGGGCATAGGCTCTGGAAAAATGTTGACAATTTTGACCTTTTGTTACTTAGACCTTTTGAAAGAATTGGTCTGGACCAGTTCCTTCTCGCTCATATATTTTTGGTCGGGTTGGAAATACCATGAAACAGCCTGTGGGAGAGAAAGAGTCTAAGGTACAGAGACTACCATGCTGGGGTGGGTCGGGCTTCAATTCTGAACCCACCTCCTGGGGTCCCTTTTGGATAGTTTGGTTGTGGGTAGATGAGTCTCCTGGAGTCAGGAACAGCAGGGGCAGTGGTCATTCACTTTCTGTATTTCTGAGTCTGGTTCATTTCTGGTTGAATTGATTTGGTAAGTATTTCTTGAAGTACCTGCCAGGCACTGTGCAAAGCACTGGGGATACTCCAAATGGACGTAGTTCCTGCCATCCTAAATCGTATAAAACTAGTAGGGGAGACAGTCCAGTAAGCAGGCAATGAATGACAATACCTTGGGGGAAACACAGGGGATGTTGGGATCCAACAGAGAAGGTCATTCAGCCAGTCTTAGTACATCAGAGAGAACATCCAGGCAGTGACTAGATGATGCTTAGACATCCAGAGGTTCTCGCTCAGACACTGGAACCATCTATAAGGTTTTTAAAAAAGTAAATTGCCCAATCTCCCCACCTACCTACATTTGGATTGGGTAGGTCTGGCATGAATTTTGGCTATTGGTGTTATTAAGAAGTTCTTCAGGTGACTTTGGTTTTAGTTTGGATTAAGAGCTTCTGACTGAAGAGGAGTGGGCATTGGTGGGACTAGTTCTGGAACAGGGAGTAGCAGGTCAGCCCATGTGCTTGGCCTTCACTGGATACACCAGCCCAAGAGGTGGCCAAAACTCTTGTAAGTGACCAAGAATTAGTATGCCCATTCAGGAATTACAGGGTCAGAGATGATAGGATCCAGGACCAAACCACCCCAGAAACATTGAATTATTCCCCAGTGATGCCCTCCCTCCAAGAGGGGTCCAAAATGGACCTTCAGGGGAAGTAGAGCAATCTTACTTTATCTGATTAATTTGGTCATCTATACATCAGCACAAGTCTGGTTCCCAGAGTGCAGGGAGCTCAGAACTTCAGGATACTCCTACTGTGCAGAGGCCGTGAAGTTATCAACAAAATCAAGTATTAAGTATTAGGATGACTCTTGTACATGACAAGCCCTTAGCTCATAACACCAGGCTCCATCACCTTAATGGTTTCTAAGAATCAAAAGGGGGATGGTTAGGGACCTCCAACTTGTTCATAACCTCGCGACCCGTGGAAGCAGCTTTGTGATTAAAAGTAAAACTTAGCTCATAAAGAGAATTTGAAAAATTTGGTTCCTTTAGTGCTGGAATAGGTGCCTCTGATTTGAACCAAAACCAAAAAACGGGTAGCGATGACTAGTAAAAATGAAAAATGAATAAATGGGTATACAGCAGACATTTCTATCGACTTTTATTTTTTTCCTGCAAAGGGCAAAAAGTGAAGCCAATGTCCATCTTAACATTTTTTTCTCTCCAAATCCTCACCTGAGGACATGCTGAGAGAGAGAGAGAGAGAGAGAGAGAGAGAGAGAGAGAGAGAGGCACTTGGATGTGAGAGAGGAACATCCATTGTTTCTGTATGTGCCCGACTGGGGACTGAACTCTCAACCCAGGTGTGTGCCCTGACTGGGAATTGAACTGGCAACCTTTTGGTGCACAGGACGACGCTCAACCAACTGAGCCATCAGCCAGGCCCGCTTAACTTTTAAAGGCCCCCAAATGGCAAACACATGGGGATATAGTCCTGATGTCTGAACCCCATGGCTCTAGATTTAGGAAGGGACCCTCTCATGTGAAGTTGCCTGCATCTAACAGTTGTCATGTGCCATATTTATCTACAGAGGACTGAATTGTGACCCCAATTAAAGTGAAGCCAGAACACATTTGTTCATTAATTCATTCAGCAGATACTTAGTTTGATTGTTCAGTGTGTCAGGTTCAGTTCTGGTTCTGGGGATTCTGAGAGGACCAAGACCAAGTCCCTTTGCTTGCCAGTCTTTTCACTCTAGCAGGGGTGGGTTAGTTGGCTGGTTTATTTTGGGGTGCATCAGGTAGTCTTTTTAGTCTGCAGATCACCTAACCAGTCTCAAGCCCTCCTCCCTCACCCCTCAGCCTCTGCCCCTTGCTCTTTTCTCTGGGAAGAGACCATGGTCTAGTGTGGGGAGTCCTTGGTCCTCCAAGGCTCTGGCTGCCACACTCTGTGTCACAGGAGCCATAAGAGTGCCGCCTAATGAGCAAGAAGGCTCCTCATGGGTCACTTGGCATGGCAGGTGATGCTGGTGTGGAACTTTGGTGCCAAAGGCCAATTAAAGTGGAGAATCTTATTGGGAGACAATGGGTGCATAAGCCCAGCCATAGGACCTCTGCCTATTTTGTTCTATCGGGCCCAGGCAGGTAGGTGGGGAAATACAGGTTTGCTCGTTTTGCAGGCATTGTGGTTACCAGAGCAGACCTATATTCTTATGGAGGCTGCACAGGGCTCCCTTTGGCTTCAGCGAGCTGCCAGCAGCTAACTGGGTGGAGGAAGCCAGTAGGTAGGAGTTCTGGCTCCTTGATCCTGTTTCCTTGGAATGTTTTCTAATCTGGGCTGACCATTGATAGGCAGACTGACTTCTGCTGCTCCACCTGAAGGGAACTTGCTTGACTTGTGCAGAGGGCTAGTGGAGGGGCAGTAGCTGAGATCCGTTGCTTTGGAAACACTGGTGACTATGAATCTGGAAAGGTCCCTCTTGTGGTCCATAGGTCCACAGGTCCTTCTGACCTTCTCCCCAGGCCTGGAAAAATAGAACTGGTTTTGGTAAAAGTGATGGCTCTTTTTGGCCTGGGCTCACAGAGACAGCGTGGTGGAGTAGACAGAGCAAGGGTTTTGGGGTCAGATGACCTAGGTTCTACCTCAGCTCCACCATCTCTTAGCTGTGTGACCTTGACAAGTCACTTCACCACTCTGGGCTTCTTTCCCTGTGAGTGAGAGGGTTGGACAGCGTGCTTTCCTAGGCCCCCTCCAGTCTGGAGCCTTTAATCTTTACACTGTCTCTGTCCACAGGCCTTGCTCCGGGCCAGCTGTACACATACCCTGCACGCTGCTGGCGAAAGAAGAGAAGATTGCACCCTCCTGAGGATCCGAAGCTGCGGCTGCTGGAAATAAAACCTGGTCAGTATTGTCTGGAGCTTGGGTGGGCCCGTGATGGGAGAGGTGGGGAGCACTGGGCTGGCCCAGGACAAGGTGACTTTGCTCCTTTGTCTGTAATGCGGAGTTTTCAGGAGCGCGAACGTGCCCACATGATGTTGAAAGGTGTGCCTGCTCTCATATCAACTTGTCCATGTGTCCATCAGAGCTTCCCTCCCCTCCGGTGTCTGGTGCGGGCACAGGCACAGGTGGGAATGGGCCCAGGATGAATCACGTTCCCACAGAGCAGGAGGAGCTGCAGCTCTTAGGGTCGGGTAATACCTTCCTGTGGCTTCAAGTAAAGAAACCGTGTGTTCCTAAGAAGGAGGGTGTGTTGGGTACCCTTTCCCACCCTTCCTGTGGATGACCTTTTGGAGCATCTTACATGAAAGGGCCATTCAATCAGATGGAACCATCTTGGACATGGAATTGGAAGAGTTTGAATAATTAGCCTTTAGGTGATGCTGATTGCTTTGTGACCTGCAGAAGGAATGGGTTGGTATTCTTGGCCTGCTTACTGACCTTTTCTTATACTTCTGACTAGATGGCCAGCTTCAGACCTGTGTCTGCATGCAGCAAGGCCAGGTGATTGCCCTGGGACTTTGCTTTCAGGGAACCTCTGGTTTTGGGGGCTGCTGGGGCTGGAATGTGACTCAGGGTGGTGAGAACTGTGCTGTCAAGTAGAGCAAATGCAGGACGGACACGTTTCGTCCCCCTGTCACCAAAGCCATGCAGACCCAGCCTCACCCCTGCCTTTTCACCCTGACCTCTTAGGTTGTGTTTTCTCTGCAAAATCTCGACTTAAAGTTGTTCAGAATGTTTTCACTCGCAGTTCCATGGTTCGGCCTGCTTTCACTGTTTGCTTCAACCTAGGCATTACCTGTGTACAAGTTTTATTTGCTAGGGGTGGGAGGGAGGGGGCTATGTTCTTCAATGCACTTCATCCAACCTCTCAAACGGCCTTGCACGATTTACAGGCCCTCGCATACACTCAAGGGTAATGACTGAGGTGGTTCCACCCCCTAGCCCCGCGACAGGTTGTAGGAGAGCCAAGTGTCTTGGAGTGGCACAATCCAGTAGACATATCACGCAGCCACGGGTGGCATTTTACATTTTCTAGTGGCCGTATTAGAAACAGGAAAAAGAAACAGGTGCAGCTGATTTTACTGATAGATTCTATTTCACCCAAAATATAACAAACATGATCATTTCAGCATGTCATCATATAGAAATTATAAATGCGATAGTTTCCTTTTTGTTGGTATTATTCTTGAATGCCTGTGTGAACTTAACACTTTCGGTCCCTTTTATTGTGCACTAGCCACATACACGTGCTCAGTTGGCCACAGGGCTAGTGGTGCCCGTTTGGGTCAGTGTGGTTCTAGACCTGCACTCAGCATATGGTTTGACCAGCACAGGCATCGCCTGGGAGCCTGGCAGAGATGAAGAACTTGGGCTTCACCCCAGACCTGCTGGGTCAGAAGCTGCATTTTATTTTAAATATATTTTATTGATTTTTTTTTACAGAGAGGAAGGGAGAGGGATAGAGAGTTAGAAACATCGATGAGACAGAAACATCGATCAGCTACCTCCTGCACACCCCCTACTGGGAATGTGCCCGCAACCAAGGTACATGCCCTTGACCGGACTCGAACCTGGGACCCTTCAGTCCGCAGGCCGACGCTCTATCCACTGAGCCAAACCGGTTACGGCCATTTTATTTTTTTAATCCTCACCCGAGGATGGATGGAGATATATATATATATATATATATATATATATATATATATATATATATATTAAATGTCTTTTATAGAACCAAAGATATTTAGCACTGTAAAATACCTCAGACATTATTAACTCCAATTCCTTGTTTTATTGAAGTCCAGACAGGTTAGGAGACTTTGCTCAAAGTCACACAGCAATTCCTGTGGGAAACAGCAGAGAATTCCCGTTGCTTGATTTCTCTGTTTAGTGCTTTTTCTGCTTTCTCATGCTGCTGATAATTATTCTAAAAGAAACTTGAACAAGGCTTTTCCCCCTAAAATCCCTAATATATATACGTGTGTGTGTGTGTGTGTGTGTGTGTGTGTATGTATGTATATATGTTATTATTATTATTATTATTAAAATGCACCCAAGAGATAGTTGGAGTTCCTCCAGTCATTGATGTCAGACTTTCAAATCGAACTATCCTACCGAAAAAGGGAAATTGGCTCATGTAACAGTAGATCTCAGGGTTCACTAGTTTCAGGCTTAGCTGAATCCTGGCGCTCAAGCTTCATAGTGAGGGCTTGTGTCTCCTTCCACCAAACACTCTTCTCTTCATGGGGCAGGCAAGGTAGCCAGCAGCAGCCCCAGACTCAGTGCTCAGCCACACCCAGCAGAAAGGCAAGTCTCCTTCCACAGCTGAGCTGGCTGGGTTTATGTCCGTCCCACCAATCACTGCCACCCAGGGGATGGGGCGATCTGATGGACTCATCATCATTATATCACAGTGTCTGAAAAGCACACTGGTTTACAAAGCCCTTTACAAAGCCTTTTCATTTATGGCACTTCATTGGTCCTGACCCTGGGAGGCAGAGAGGGAAGGACAGGGTAAATAAGCCCATTTTACAGGCTGGGGAATTCAGGTTGCAGACAGAGCTAAGGAGAGTTTACTGTGCTTTTCACATATCTGAGAACCAAGTCTCACTGTTAGTGGGACTGAGGCAAGAAGCTACTCACGAGTGTCTGGTCCTTCCGCTTACGGACATTTACATTGGGCACGCTGGCCTCCCAGCGGCAGGCTATGGAGCAGCTGGCGTTACAGCTGGCTTTGGACTTCCCCATCCCTGGACCTGCCATGACCTGTGCGGGGAGGGAAAGGATGACCCTAGGGTTTGCTGTGGCCAAGTGCCCACCAGCACATTGTGCGTATATGTGATCATTAGGAAGTTTTCCTTGGCCTCTCCCTCATGCTTGGGCAGAAGCTGAGGGGGATGCCCCTGGTCTCAGGTAGTAAAGGCCCAGCCCCTGAGATGCCCGGAGTCCTGGGGGAGGACCCTCTCTGGAAAGATAGTGCCGACCTGGACGAGGGTGACCCTCAGAGGCATGGCCACATCCCAAGGTGGAAAAAGATCCCAGCTAAGTTGGGCTCACCTGAGGCAGGCTCACCCTATAGGCCAGCTAGTGCCCAGGTCACCGGAAACAAGAACCCAAGGCTGGAATGAGCAGCTTTTCAAATGACACAGCTGCTTCGTGCATGGACATGTTGCCCCTCCTTGGGTAATCAGATTTACTACTAAAATCAGACCCCCAAAGCCTTGGGCCAGATGTTTGCCATTTCCGTGTCCTGTGCTGAGTCTGTACTACTAGGCCGGGCCTGGCCCTCAGCATGTACCCCGACATCAGTTTGCGACTGCAGGTTGTGAATCAGGATGCCAGGGGAGTGTCTGGGAGTCAGGCCTTGGCCCGCAAAGCATCAGGGCCCATCCAGAGAAGCGAAGCAGCACAGAAACGCATCACCCGACATACAGCTGCTTTGGGTTTTTCACACAAGCCAAAATGTCAGAAAAGGACCTTCCTCCAGGGCCTCAGTGGGCCCAGGTGGGGCCTTGGAAGAAGGCGTCCCCTTTGGATGGACATATACAAAACGATGCCCCTTTGGTCGGATAGTACAGCACACGCTGGATCTCAGCCCCCGGGCAGTGTCTCTGCCTCATCATTTGCAAAATGCAGTTTCCAGCCGAGAGGATCTTTTCCCTTTTTGGGGTATATCCTTCTCAAGCACTTGGACAGTGTTTTAAAACAGTTCTCTCTTATTTGTGTTCTATTTGATTTGGGTTCAAAAAGGACTAGGTTTTTCGGTTGGTGCTTTTAGGTGCGACTCAGGGTAGAATCATTGGTCAGAGTCCCTGGAGAACTTGCTGCGAATTCCTAGTAGGTGTGAACAGTCAGCTGGGTGGACGGATGGAGACGGATGTTTTCAGGGCTAGAGGAGCAGGTGAAGGAGACAGATGGAGGGAGAGGCCAGGGATCTGCTCTCTTTTTAGTGGAATTGGGAGTAACCTTTCTGAAGATCAGTGCATAGAGCCTGTCAGTATTTTAAAAGCACATGCCCTTTGACCTAGAAATTCTTTTGCTAGGAATTTATCCTATAAGTAATTATATAGTAACAAGGTAGAAGGTTGCCCTTTGTGACATTGTTTGTAACGATAACAACAAAGAATGGAAATAACCAGAAGGTCCATTGATAGGACACTAGTTAAATACTACAGTACATTCATAAAATGGGATACTGTTTTGCCTTATAAAGGAATGGAATGGAAAGATGTCCAAGATCTATTGTCCAGTGGAAAGATAAAAAGCAAATTGCAACATTATGGGCAAACCTGCTGAAAATCGATAACTGATTTGTTCAGCCTAGGCTGAATCTCTTTACATTTATGGAAAGAAATGTTGAAAGAAAACCCACGAATGAACCAACCCACCCTTGGCCCTCCTCCACCCCCAGCCCCTAAATGCTCTTCCTCTTCTCTCTCTTCCCTTCCAGCCTCCGAGTGTGGGTTCCCTTGGACAAACCCTCAGAATCTAGTTATGTCTCTGACTCTTGGAGCCTCCCCTGGGCTCCACCATCAGCACCCTCATCTGCTTGCGGGGAGGGAGGGGCATTCTCCTGATTTGTGAGAGATGGGGCGCTGGCCTGGAGCAACTTTGTCTTAAGGCATGAGTTTCCTTCCGTGTCAGACCCTTCCACAGATAACGAGGAGGTGCCACAAGAAATTTATCATGCCGCCTAACCGGTTTGGCTCAGCGGATGGAGTGTCGGCCTGCGGACTGAAAGGTCCCAGGTTCGATTCCGGTCAAGGGCATGTACCTGGGTTGTGGGCACATCCCCAGTAGGAGGTGTGCAGGAGGCAGCTGATCGATGTTTCTTACTCTCTATCCCTCTCACTTCCTCTCTAAAAAATCAGTAAAATATATTTTTTAAAAAATTTATCATG